CCACCGTTACAAGGACTAGAGTGGGGGAATCTGGCTTAGTAGCCTTATTAGAGGTACCTCTTTATTGCATTCTGTTCTGACTCTGAGGTGATTTTTGGCTAACGCCCCTCAGAAGCAGAATCATACACCGGTGTGGGTAATACATTTCATTGATAGAGTATAAGTAAGTTTATTTGTTTGATATCAGTTGTATTCTGCTTAAAGTGCAACTCTGCCATCCGGAGACTCTTGGCTGTGAAGCCCTCTAGTGGCAGACCAAATTTACTGCATTGCATAAAAGAAGAAAAGTAAGTTTTGAAGTTGAAAGGGGAACCCCACCCCTCTGCACTGCATTTCATTCTCCATAAAATTGTTCTTGTTTCATTTAACCCTGTGTCAGCAAATTTCTTGGCGGGGTATTTGCTATTCATTACCAGTTGTGCCAGAGGGATTGGGTTTGCTTAGGGTTGGATCTATTGAGCGCAGGACCCATAATATATTCCAGCTTGTCCCAAGGGGCAGTGCTACATAAGCATACCACCTCATCAGTGAAGCATGGTGGTGGTAGTGTCATGGCGTGGGCATGTATGGCTGCCAATGGAACTGGTTCTCTTGTATTTATTGATGATGTGACTGCTGACAGTCACTCTGAAGTGTTTCAGGCAATATTATCTGCTCATATTCAGCCAAATGCTTCACAACTCATTGGACGCTTCACAGTGCAGATGGACAAATGACCCAAAGCAGACTGCAAAAGCAGCCAAAGAGTTTTTTAAGGGAAAGAAGTGGAATGTTATGCAATGGCCAAGTCAATCACCTGACCTGAATCCGATTGAGCATTTCACTTGCTGAAGACAAAACTGAAGGCAAAATGCCCCAAGAACAAGCAGGAACTGAAGACAGTTGCAGTAGAGGCCTGGCAGAGCATCACCAGGGATGAAACCCAGCGTCTGCTGATGTCTATGCGTTCCAGACTTCAGGCTGTAATTCACTGCAAAGGATTTGCAACCAAGTATTAAAAAGTGAAAGTTTGATTTATGATTATTATTCTGTCCCATTACTTTTGGTCCCTTAAGAAGTGGGAGGCACATATGCAAACTGTTGTAATTCCTACACCGTTCACCTGATTTGGATGTAAATACCCTCAAATTAAAGCTGACAGTCTGCAGTTAAAGCACATCTTGATCGTTTCATTTCAAATCCATTGTGGTGGTGTATAGAGCCAAAAATGTTAGAATTGTGTCAATGTCCCAATATTTATGGACCTGACTGTAGATACCAAGACTCCATTAAAACTTGACTCCCTAAGGATCCAAAGTTTACGATGTCTGCTACTTGCCAGCATAGTCTGTGGGAATGCAGAGACTATCTGGATGAGGATCAGAAGCCAGCCTACATTATGACACAGAATGTGAACAAGATATCTTGTGTCCTTCACCCTACTCCCCATTTGGAGTATAGCCAACCAATTGATGATTTTCTACAAGTTTTCTGCAAACTGACTGGCACTCAAGATATTTCTTCTAACACCCAGATAAGACTCAGTCCTGAGGTGATGTACCTGGAAACTACAGCAGAGTAAGTGGAGTGGGATATCCCAATGTGGCCTATTATCCATCAGGATCATGTTCTTCATGGTCAATACCATTACACATTTTTAAATCATTAAATACAGCCAAGCAACAGACAAATTAATAACCAATATGTATTTATTGTTTGTTTTTACCCAATTAATAGTATGCAAACGTATTTAAAAAAAGAACATAGACTCGTTTCTGAATAGCAGAGCCTCTGGTGCCCCGAACCTCCCCAGCAAACCACATGGGAAACCCCAACGTCTGGGGGCAAACCAAACCAGTTCCCACCCTCCACCTGCTTTGATGCAATGCTCAGTAAACCAATCACCAGACATGAACACCCCCACATGTGAGACCATACCCTGCTAAATGCAAATATCTACTATTAAAAATATTGGCATATTACCCCGTGAGGGCAAAACTCCAGATCAGATACAGTGTAGGGCAACTGACTGATGGGCTCTGTATGTTCGGTTTTACTTGTATTTTCTAACCTGACCAATAATAGGAATGTTGGGACTTCTTCTCACGCCTCTGACAGCGCCATTCCCCAGCGTAGGGGTCGGAGTTACTATATGCTTCTTCTATATACTATACTTCATCTTTATAATGGTGAACACGATAACCGTGAGATGAGAGTTTTTCTGGTCATGTCCGCAGTGCTGGCTCATCACCATGAATGGGTGAGGAGAGGTTGGTGAAGGTAGAGCTGGTGGGAGGTGACAGGTCCTCGTTGTCCGGGACAGGTGGACATCTAGCATTGACACTTTCCCCGTTCTCCAGTAACACCTCTTTGTGTGCCTGCAAGCCATTGAGATGGATGGTGGGATCCCCAAATCTGCCGAATGATAATAAAATAAGAGTCATATAACATCCGAAGAGATGCAAAATTCAGACTGGCCAGATAGAAAAGAGACAAAATCCAAGGAAATGAACCCCCCACCTGATGTTTGCTGTCACTAACAATGTATGCCGGGACTGAATATGAAACAGTAACATGGGTTTTCTCTTCTAGGACATCACCAACATCTTGCTGGTGAGAGATGACCACACATGTTATGATTTGATTGTACAACCTCCTTTAGATGTACCAAAACTATAATACTGTAAAAAGTAATAACTACTGTATATGAAATGTGGTCTCAATACCCAATTAAGAGGAAATTCCTTCCTGTGTCCTCCTGTCCTGGTGACCTACATTCTTCTCATTTTCAGGCTTGGTGTCATAGGGACAGAAAGTGAAGTGGAATCTTTCCTGTAAGGGCATTAGCAGCAGACAAGATGCCCTTTGTTAATAAAAGTGAACCTGAAGTGACGTCATCAAACATTCTAAAATAACGTATTACACAGCAGTGAGTACCATGCCATGCCAGGACCAGGGGCGGACTGAGCATTTGGAAACTCGGGCACTGCCCGAGGGCCCGTGGTCAGTAGGGGGCCCCGTGAGATGCCCCTGGTACCTTTTTCATAGGCTTTTTTGAGTTTGGGCAAGGACACAGGGGCCCCATGATCCCCTATTGCCCGGGGGCCCCATGAGTTGTTAGTCCGCCCCAGGCCAGGACAGACCTTTCCATGGTGATTCCCGCAGTGCTCCCACAGCATCAATCCTCTTTTAGATTTTTTTCTAAAAAGTATCCAGAAAAGTTCTGAATTTTGGCAGCTGGATCAGAGAAGAGGTGCTCCAAACCGTAGATGGAGCTGGAGTTTACAGAGCTCAACTGCTGCAGGCACTCTGGAGCCATAGCTACAAAAATTTGAGCACTGCAATCCATATGTCATTATTAAATTTTTACTAAACCATCAACAGTACAATCAGTCTGTAGATGCAGTAAAGCGTGCTTGTTATACTCACTGTGGAACCTAAGGGGTTAATCCTCTGCACTGTGTAAAAAGGCTGTTTGATCCTGTCTTCTCTGATCCTCCCCTTCTACTGTCCCCAATCTATCTGATAGTACAGAGCCTTGAGGGCAAGCTGTACATGCTCAGGTTGGGGTGTACTGCTATTGAGGTTTTTCTAATTCTTGGGAGGGTGCATGTGATCAGCACAGGGCCAATCAGCGCTATCCAGACAGAGGGTTAGGGGATATGCAGCCTCATAGGACAATCAGGGAAGAATGATACAATCAGGGAAGAATGATACAATCAGGGAAGAATGATACAAGCTTTAACCAGTGCTCTGCTGGGCACTGATAGAAGTCACAAGACTAAAAGTACAAACGAAACCAGCTCTCAAATCTTCATGCAGACTAGAAGGAATTCTGAATGTCAAACGTTGAAGTGCAGCCCTTCAAAGATCGGGAATCTTGGTACTGGTGAACAAAAGCAAACAAGGGCGCACTCTCATTGTGCATTACCGTGGTACACCATGTATTTATTAAAAACATATAGATATACTCACAAACCAAAAGGGAATAAAAACAGAGCAGGTAGTCCGTAATGACAGTCCAATGGAAAACTAGATGGGATAATCTAACGCGTTTCGGGAGACGAACTCTCTTCTTCAGAGCCAAACTATAGACCTGCTGATCCAACATATATAGGCCAAAAAATGGTAAAGAGGACTGAAAACACAACCCCCCCCCCCCCCCTTTGCACACATGACTGCCCAATCAATAATTAGCCAATCAAAACCACCTCCAGCAAAAAAAAATAATAAAATAATCAAGTGTATATTCCGAGAGATAAATAAATAATAATGATTAACAATAATAATTAAATAATGAATGAATGAACTTTACTCACATATAATGCCAGAGGATACATAGATGAAGGATTTGTACAATGGGACTCAGGCCAGAATTTGTAATATACTGTATCATGAGGTGAACTAATGCTAGCATGTGGTAATTGATGTGTGCCCAATAGAATAGCGTGGTGTCTGTGCTACTGGCATGAGTCCCATTGTTCATTCATTCATTCATTCATTTCATTATTTAACTATTTATTATTGTTAATCATTATTATTTATTTATCTCTCGGAATATACACTTGATTATTATTTTTTCTTTTTGCTGGAGGTGGTTTTGATTGGCTTGTTTCTGATTGGGCGGTCATGTGTGTGTGTGTGTGTGTGGGGGGGGGGGGGGGGGGGGGGTTGTGTTTTTAGTCCTCTTTTCCATTTTTTGGCCTATATATGTTGGATCAGCAGGTCTATATTTTAGCTCTGAAGAAGGGAGTTTGTCTCCCGAAATGCGTTAGCTTATCCCATCAAGGGTCTAGTTTTCCATTGGACTGTCATTACGGACTACCTGCTCTGTTTTTATTCCCTTTTGGTGTGTGAGTATATCTATATGTTTTTAATAAATACGTGGTGTACCACGGTAATGCACGATGAGAGTGCGCCCTTGTAAGTCACAAGACTGCTCCAACTGCTGATGAGAAAAGGTATTTCGCAGTTTATATTTACTAAAATAATTTCTATGTCCTGTGTACATTGGGAGACCAGATATAGTGAATGCAGGGTCCGGGGAGAGCGGATATAGTGAATGCAGGGTCCGGGGAGAGCGGGATATAGTGAATGCAGGGTCCTGGGAGAGCGGATATAGTGAATGCAGGGTCCGGGGGACGGATATAGTGAATGCAGGGTCCGTGGGGACCGGATATAGTGAATGCAGGGTCCGGGGAGAGGGATATAGTGATTGCAGGGGGTCCGGGGAGAGGGATATAGTGATTGCAGGGGGTCCGGGGAGACCGGATATAGTGAATTGCAGGGGGTCCGGGGAGAGACTGATATAGTGATTGCAGGGACCGGGGAGACCTGATATAGTGAATGCAAGGTCCGGGGAGACCTGATATAGTGAATGCAAGGTCCGGGGAGACCTGATATAGTGAATGCAAGGTCCGGGGAGACCAGATATAGTGAATGCAGGGTCCGGGGAGACCAGATATAGTGAATGCAGGGTCCGGGGAGAGCGGATATAGTGAATGCAGGGTCCTGGGGAGAGCGGATATAGTGAATACGGGTCTGGGGAAGCGGATTAGTGAATGCGGGTGTCTGGGGAGAGCGGATATAGTGATTGCGGGGTCTGGGGAGAGCATATAGTGAATGCGGGGTAAAGCATATAGTGAACATTTCCGGGGAGACCAATATAGTGAATGCAGGGTTGTAGACTGTGAATGCATCCAGGTTTAGTAACACTTAAGCTGAAAAAAGAAAATGTGAATAATGTTCAGTTTTTTGAATATTCGTTTGATTTTCTAATGGTTTTGGTGTCAAATTGACATTCATTTTCAACAGTAAGGTAAACATAATGGACATTTTTTCTCAAACAAAATTGTAACTGTGCATATGGTTTTTGTACTGAAAAAATCTTTACCAATTGTACAATTGTAGTGAGACCTGTTTATTACATTTGGGATTCCATTCCAGTAGCAGGTCTGGATGAAATGTTTACCATTAGCCATCTTTACCTGGAGCAGGGGCGGACTGACCATTTGGAAACTCGGGCACTGCCCGAGGGTCTGGGGTCAGTAGGGGGCCCCATGAGATGCCCCTGGTACCTTTTTCATAGGCTTTTTTGAGTTTGAGCAAGGACACAGGGGCCCCATGATCCCCTATTGCCCGGGGGGCCCCATGAGTTGTCAGTCCGCCCCTGCCTAGGAGACTGCAAACACCACCCTTTAGCTCTGCACAGAACAATGCAGACACCACAATAACATCTCATCTTCAAGTGACATGGGTTACCTGTGCAGCTCTACGTCCTGGATGGTCTCCGGCAGCTGGAGGTGAGAGGTCTCTGTTAGGAGGAAAGCCGCTATACCAGACACCAGGGACATAAGGCTGAACACCACGGGGGGAAGGAAGAGCCAATTATCTTCCAGAAGAATGACCAGAGGGGCCAGAGAGCTTCCCAGGCGGGTCATGAAGGAGCAGAACCCAAGGCCGGTCTGCCTGTGCGGAGAGAGGAGAGGTGTCAGCATTTGTGAGATCTAAGGATGGCACATACTACATACAGCAGATCATGGTTGGTGGAGAATGATGGTTGCTTGGACTGTGCATAATATTTATGCGTTGTGTTACTACACCTTCCTTCTTCTCTGTAAAGCTGGCTCATTTACTTCGTCCTTTTTCTGGGCAGGTTCTGTTCCTAGGATAGCTAAGTCAACTTACAATTGTCCCTCTCTTGGAGGCAGGGGCGGACTGACCATTTGTAAACTCGGGCACTGCCCGAGGGCCCGGGGTCAGTATGGGGGCCCCATGAGATGCCCCTGGTACTTTTTTCATAGGCTTTTTTGAGTTTGGGCAAGACACAGGGGCCCCATGATCCCCTATTGCCCGGGGGCCCCATGAGTTGTCAGTCCGCCCCTGCTTGGAGGGTTAAGTATTGCCTTGCTTTCAGAAATACTACTGGGCACATGTACTGTTCACGGTGCAATGGTGGTTTTCTCAAATGGTCAATTTGGAGGCAGCCATTCTAGGTTCATATTCGGCACTGAGCAACTTGGTGTGTCTGGGCCCTAGATCTATGCTGCACATGGCGCTTTTGATGCGCATCAAAATCCAGGTGTGGGGGCAAGTGATGGCAGTTAATGGTGAGTCCAGTACTAGCTCTCCTCACACTCCATTGTGGGCCAACCCCACGATGCCCTATTTGCATTCTATACCTGACCCTGGTGTGTGGGTTAGATTTGGTATAAAAATATTGAAACATATTATGCCAGCTGGGCAGCTATTTCCCTTTAACAGTTTCAGGGAAATTTTCCAACTACCCTCATGTATGTTCTTTGGTACCTGCAGTTACATGCTGTACAAATGCAATTCCCCTCTGGTGACTCTGGTTTTTATAAGATAGAGATGTTTCTTATTACTAGTAATGCGGATAGGATCCTCTCTCTTCGTTATATCTCTGAATTTGTAGTGTGGGTACTGCTAAGGTGTCTCACTTATTTCATTCTTGGAAGAGGGAAATTCCCACATTAACTGAGGGGACTGGGACAGGGGGTCCAACATTACATTCTCACAGTTATTTCAGCTAATAACAGATTAATGTAGCTAAACTTTATCCATAGGGCATATTACACCCCTCACCTCTCAACTCCTCTCTTGGATTTACCCTACGCCAGGGGTTCCAAACTCAATTATATTGCGGGCCACATCAGCACTGTGGTTGACCTCAAAGGGCCGGTTGTATCAGTATGAATTGATGTCCAGAACACCCCACCCCCTTACCTCAGATGTGAAGAAACCCCCCACCATAAGAAGTCAAGAGTCCATCACCCTCCCTTACATCGCAGTGCACCTCCTTACGTTGTGCTGCTGCTGGGAAGCAGCTGGGGGCAGAGGTGGGAATCAGATGGTGCAAGATCTGGAGGAGGATCAGAGGAGGGCTAGAGTCAGCTGTCAGAGTTTGCTGAATGCTGAGACCAAGGGAAGGCGGAGATGAGGGGGTGCTACACAGGCTCCACAGAGAGGCGCAGGATCTGTAAGAATTCTATCCTCCTCTCTGAGGGCGACTGCTGAGACAACATGGAGGCTGAGACAAGAGGGGTGCTGCGGCTGCAGTAGAGGTGCAAGGGCCACTTGAAATTACCTGGTGGACCGGATTCAGCCCACGGGCTTTGTGTTTCACACACACGTACCCTACGCAGTCAGCTAGTTGTCCTAAATGCATACAGGATGTGGGTATGTTCGTTTCTATACATAGTATGGTCATGTCCCCTTACACCCGTTCCAAATTATTATGCAAATTCTATTTAAGTGTCACAAAGATTAAATATTTTGTTTTTCAGTGTAACTCATGGATGGCATTGTGTGTCAGGGCTCTTTTGATCACTGAAAACAATCTCGGACACCTGTGATAATTAGATTGGCCGGTGAGCCCAATTTAAGGAAAAACTACTAAAGGACGGAGTTCCACATTATTAAGCAGAGCACCATTTTCAAGCAATATGAAGAAAAAGGATCTCTCTGCTGCCGAAAAGAGTGAAATAGTTCAATGCCTTGGGCGAGGTATGAAAACATTCGATATTTCACAAAACGTCAGCGTGATCATCGCACTATTAAGAGATTTGTGGCTGATTCAGAGCACAGACGGGTTGGTGCAGATAAAGGCACATTGAGGAAGATTTCTGCCAGATCCATGCATCGGGTCAAGAGAGCAGCTGCTAAAATCCCATTACATAGCAGCAAACAGATATTTGAAGCTGCTAGTGCCTCTGGAGTCCCACGGACATCAAGGTGTAGAGTCCTCCAGAGTCTTACAACTGTGCATAAACCTTCTATTCGGCCACCACTAACCAATGCTCCCAAGCAGAAACGGCTGCATTGGGCAGAAAAATATATGAAGACTAATTTTCAAACAGTCCTGTTCACTGATGAGTGCCGTGCAACCCTGGATGGTCCAGATGGATGGAGTAGTGGATGGTTGGAGGACAGCCACCCTTTTCCAACAAGGCTGCGACGTCAGTAAGGCAGTGGTGGAGTCATGTTTTTGGGCCGCAATCATGGGAACCCCTTTAGGGTCCCCGAAGTTGTAAAGATGACCTCTGCAAAGTATGTGGAGTTTATGACTGACCACTTTCTTCCCTGGTACAGAAGGAAGAACTATGCTTTCCGTAATAAAATCATCTTCATGCATGACAATGCACCATCTCATGCTGCAAAGAATACCTCTGCATCAATGGCTGCTATGGGGATAAAAGGAGAGAAAGTCATGGTGTGGCCTCCATCCTCCCCTGACCTCAATCCTATTGAGAACCTTTGGAGCATCCTCAAGCAAAAGATCTATGAGGGTGGGAGACAGTTTACATCCAAACAGCAGCTCTGGGAGGCTATTCTGACATCTTCCAAACAAATTCAAGCAGAAACTGTCCAAAAACTCACAAGTTCAATGGATGCAAGACTTGTGAAGCTGCTATCAAATAAGGGGGTCCTATGTTACAATGACGTGACCGGTTCAAATGTTTAAAAAGGTAAAATGTTGTTAAAAGTTTGATTGAAATAGCTTTTGATTTCAGTAAATATGCTGCAAACACAACAAATGTAAACAGTTCTTTACAATCTATAAAGTGTTTTGAAATTTACTGTGCGGAATAATTTGGAACAAAAATCCTGTTATCATTAGGAGGTTTGTTCAATAAAATGTGAATTGTACTCTTATAGTTGTAACATGAGAATTATGCCGTCTGTTATTTACATCAATTATTTTGGGAAATGAGAAAAATATAATTTGCATAATAATTTGGGAACACGGTGTATTTAGGGCTCCTGGATGGAAGTGGTGGCTGATATAAATACAAAAAACCCTTTGTGTTTTATGCTAGGCAGACTATTCTTTCTAAATGGAAGTAACCTGATAACCCTACTGTCTCCCAGTGGAGATCCCTGATCGACTCATCACTACCTCTGTATAAGCTCACATACATAGGCCGTAAGTGCCACAAAAAGTTTGATAAAATCATGGCTCACTGGATGGAGGCTAGGACTCTGACACTTTGAATTTATTTACTAAAGCTGGAGAGTCCAAAATCAGACTCCCTTCTGGGCCAGCTTCTAACCTTTTGCTTAAAAAACCTGGAGATTGGTTTCATGCAGAAGGGAGTCTGATTTTGGACTCTCCAGCTTTAGTAAACCCCCTTGAATCTTTGACATTGGGCCTGTTTGCTTAAAATGTAGCTGAAGCAGTACTTACTACAGTGTGGTATGGTGTGGCAGGGTGTTCAGAGCTTTTTGGGTGCCCCTATTTTAACATTCCTGAGAGGATAATTTGGTTCCAGTGATGGTGCCCCCTGCTTTTTTTTCCCTTTCCCTTCCAGGCAACCTTAACCGCCTCCTTTTCCGGTGACTCACATCTGAGATGCTGGTTGTCCTAATGTTTGCAAAGGCTAACAGTTGTTCCCCTACTTTTGAAAGGTGGGGCATCTCCTCACGCTAAAGCAGATTAGTCTGAGGGTTTTAGGACATGGAAGGTCAGGATTTATAGATGAACCAGGGGCCAAACTTGCATTTGGATTTGGAATTGAGGCCTGGGAGTAGTGAAAACGACAGATGATGATGATGATGATGATATCCAAGGCAGCTCCAAAGAGATGTCCCTCAAAGGGCATGCAAAGGAAGCTTTTTTTTTAATGTGGGTTTTGCAGTCCAACAGTTAATCCAAAGAGTCCTCATCCTAATAGGAGGCCAATCGGGGAGATGAGATGGAAGTTCCCCAAAAATCTGTCCACATTGTAGTTTAAGGCTGCAGGCATGAGCACGAAATGTTCTTTGATCAAGGGATTCACTGCCATAGTGGTCAGGTTTTTTCTAATGGCCCTAGCCTAGTCAGCTAGGGGCTGAACAACTAATGTCAGGTTGCAATGCAGGTGCTGTCAGAGACAGTGTTCTAGCAAGGGTCATCTATTGATGGGATCCATAAAAACAGGTGCATCCTCCACAGGGCTGGCCAACTCTTTGTTAAGATGGGATACTGCAAAATCCACAGAGGGGGTAGTCCATTTTTTTTTTTAAACAAAGTTCTCCTTAAATGGGTACAAAACGGATATACGTTTGGGATGGACAAACATTTTGTCAGAATTCCTCCAGCTACCATAAAGGAAGACTGAGAAGAGAACAGCGGGTTTACCAGGAAGATCTCTCTTAGGAGCCATAAAAGCCTATTCTGGGGACAGCACTGGTAGAAGCTACAGGCCGATCTTCAAGTTTTAACGAATTGTGTACTACTGCAGTGCTGCCTGTAACAGCGTATACCCAGAGATGGACGCGGTTCAACCATTTTAACTGGTTTCAACTTCCATCTCAGCTAGGTGCCGAGCTTTCTGTGAAAGCTGTATCCTTTCTCACCTAGGAAGAGATAGGACCAACTTTCCCAAGAGAGCTGGAGTCTCACTGGCCAAAGTACCTGTGTAATTTCACACCTCGTGAAGGGATAGCAGAGCCTTCCCAGGAGTTGA